CCCCAAAACCCCAAAACCCCAAAACCCCTAGAAGAGATTTATAAGTTGAAGCCAGAATATTTAGGCACTTCCTTCGGGAGAATTTGGGTTCAGCCTGGTCATGAGGGTGTCTATTATTTTGTTCAGGTTGCTGATCTCTTGTTTGTAGTATTCTGATGATTTACTTTGGCCCATTTCGGAGTCAGAGTCGATAATGTCGTTTATTTTGTCGATTACGTCTTGGACGCTGTCTTTTTGGAGGTTTGGGGGATGATTTTCATCTTTTGATTGGTGTTTTGACTCCTCTTTTGATAGGATATCTTCAGATTCCTTTGCTTTTGATCTGATGAAGTCTGCTTCTATCTCTCTGATTCCTTTGACGAGTTGACTGTTCTCTTCTTGTAATCGTTCCCAGCTAAGGTTTGTTACTTTATGAGCTTTCTTGAGTTCTTTATATTTCTTTGTAATTTCATCATTTTCACGAAGTAATTTTTCACGCTGCAATTTGAGCCATTTTATTTGTCTTTCATAGACTTCACCTACTTTTTGGGATGATTTGTAAGCTTCTAAAACTTTAAGCTCATTGGTCTCTTTGAGATACTCTTCTGTATTGGGCTGAAAAAGAGTTTTTCGTAGTTCTTTATTACTTTGATAAAATGAATCCTTCAGAACCCAGCATTGAGTTTCAATTTTTGTCAGAATTTGATCAAAGGTTCCAAGATTGTAAATATCTTCATTCAGGCCAGTGAGTGTCTTCTCCTTCAATTCAAGGACAAGTTTACCATAGCCATCAGAATATTTTATGGATTTCAGATCGACCATTCCGCTATTATTGAAAATAGACGTTCCTTCCTTTTGCTCAATACCTACAAAATCACCCAGTCTGTACTTACTGAACATATTTTCTTCCGCTTGGGTCTGGATAGACCTCAAATTTCTGCTATTGGATCTACTTTTCTTACTCCTATTCCTTCTCTTCCTCTTATTTGATGTATTCCTTCTTCTATCAGGTACGCATGGGGATGCGAAAACGATATCGCCTTTTCTCTTATTTTCCTCGTCCTCTTCTTCTATATGTATATCAGCCATAATGGCTCTTCTGAGTTCAATATTTTCCTTGTACTGGTTGAGGCTCTTATTTCAAAAAATCAAGTTCATCGAAGACTTTGTTAATAATGATGAATCCTTTTTGAATTCTTGCACTGTTAAGCTCTTTGAACTTGGCGTAGTTCTCTTCAATGTAGTGCATCCTGTCTTTTTCTGCAGTAGTCGGAGAGGATTTATGGAATGGGGAGAATCTAGAGTAAAGGAGACAAGTACTTTAGGTTTTGAGAGGAGTTTAGAGGACAGCGGTGGGGGTCTACTAGGCCTGAAGAGCGTAGATTGGGTGAGAAGTCTTTGAAGGTGTGTGATTGGTAGTGACCAGGGTTGTTGGGGGAGGTGGGTTGGTTGAAGGATTCGTTGTTGAAGGTGTGGATGAGGGATTTTGTCCTTTCGAGGGATTTATTTGGTCTCTTCAAAGGATACGGCTTTATTGAGGTTATGGACTTTGTTGCGAAGGGGTTTTGGGGATTTTGAAGAGTCTGAGTCCATGTTTAAGTTTGAAATTTTAAATTTGAGTTTAAATCTTACAATTTCTTTGATAATATCAGGGGTTTTGGGGTTTTGGGGTTTTGGGG